CAAATGCGGGCGCGCACCGACACATCAATTGAGCCGTAAACAAGTCCCCTACTAGGTCTGCTGTTGCTTTACTAACCTTTTTCATCTAAAGCCATGATTCGAAAGCATCACCGAAAGTATCTGCGTGGAAGAGACAAACTCCAAATGACATCCAATATGGGACCATGAGGTGCTTTCTATGTTGAACGCCTAGATTGTATCCGTTTCACAGGAGCCTTCAATTGGGTTGAATTCAAACAACGAGGTGCACGCAGAGTTGTGTATAGCCACTGCTAACTTTAGAACAGCATACTGCCACACATGACCAAAAAATAGGTGCTAAATCCTTTCACCTCAGTGTAAACCTGCAATTTGAGCAACTGCCGTAACACACAAATTGAGGTGGAACGCTGTTACAAACAATGGTCGCTTTCAGGTTGGGGTAAGGTCATGCCCTCGTTCGGGAGTAAACGGGGTCTCCATCATTTCATAGATTGTGCTTTAAAAAAGCAAGCTATCATCGCCAAGTGAACTCGCGTAATCGTCAATGAGACAAAAGTTTTGAGAGTTGTTTTCGCTTCGCGTGAAGCCGAGCCCAAATGCCCTTTGAGGGATTACTGCAGAAACTAACACAAACCCGCTCACGGCGAATATGGCGGTAACAGGAACAGTGTTAGCGGTGGAAAATGAACAGCACATTTAAAGGGGGAAAACCAAACCGATAAAGGCATTTCATATCATTCAGTTTAAGACCACGAGTTCAAGCGTGTGGGAGAACCAGGCGTTTAGCCTACTTTGACATTGGACTGACCTGCTAAACTCAACAGAGGTTTACGAATGAAGTCGAGACAAAGCAGCATAATCAACACCATGGCGCATAAGATGTAAAGAACAACCCAAAGTCTAATCAAATATCCAAATTGCAAACTGCTGAGCAGCCAAGAAGATATCAATTTAATCCCTACTCTATGATGAGGAGGCCAAAGGCGTTCAAACCGTTAGATACACTGACAACGTGAATTCAGTACACAAATCAGAAGTGTCAGCTCACCAGCATTGGTCTTTGTATAGCAGAGCGTGAAAAAGAATCCTTACGAAATCCAATTTCTATGGTACTACGCAGAAGTGATGGAGCCTTGTAGAATAAAAACAACTAAACAAATAATTCATAGCTTCCGTGATAACTAAAAACTACTGTAAGCATTATTTTCAATAATCCGAAGCCGCAACCGAAGCACAGAGATGAAGCACTAGAAATTCTTGACGCGGCAAAGGCCCAGTGAGAGAGATCCACCTCATTGGACTGAGTAATTGAACCGCCTCGGCATTCTCAAAGTTGCTCAATCAGGTGAAAGAAATTTTGACAGGAAAGCGAGCCAACATCTAGGCGAATTGTGCATCCTCCAATCTAGTGCAATCATGCACAACATTGGCTATGGTAAATTATTGTGAATGCTGTCGGAGCCGTAAATGTAACTATGAAAAATCAGCGAATTATGCACATGAAAAGCTTATTTCATCTTGAGAAAAAGTTAAGGAAATGTAAAGTAAATGGAATGCTATGATATTCTGCAAAGAGTAAAGAAGTGAATGAATGCAGCGAAATGCCATAGAACGACTGCAACCACAAGAATTAAAAAAGTTGAACCAATTACATACGAAATAAACAACGTGGCACCGATAGGGGTGTTGTGAGTTGAATTTCGATAATTTTGCCACTTGTGTGTACGTTTATCCAAAGTTAATTTCGAGCAAAACTTTAGTCTAAATTCCATTCGGAACCAGAAAAATGAAGTTTAGTAATAACACCAAAAAACATAAATGCATAAATGGGAAAAAAAGGTGACAATTTAAAGAGTCTACACACAACTCACAGCATTCTTTAAATGATCACATCACATCACATCATCATCATTTTAGAAGCTATATAATAATACTTTAGACACAATAGCAAATTCCTAGTATCCATTCAGTGAGCACGATCAAATGCTGAACTCAAGAAGGAGGCTTTGATTAGATGTTCACACAAATATTGGTGTGAGTGAAACACCCAAAATACACAGTACCAAAAACAGCCGTATGAAGGCCACATTGGGACAAAAATAGTCCACCGAACCTTGCACATATTTTACAAACAGTGGTTTTATAACTGCGTGTAACACTAACGAAGTGATCAATGCGAAGTGTATGTGATTGCTAGTAAGCGGAAAATTCTAGCAACATTTAAGCTAAAAATGTCACTAAGCGGGAAAATTGAGCCCTCGGGAAGAAGACAAGCTAGATGGAGTTAAGGTGGTGTGCACTGAGTTAAATGGAAACAAATCGAAAGTACTTCCGGTGAAAAGTGCGTGAGAATTGGTAGAATGCACCCTTACTCAAGACCAGATGGTGGCGGTTAATGCAGCATCACTCTTGGACGATAGAAATAGTTCGCAGCACAGAAGTGCGTGTCAAAAGCATCGCGAGCACCACAACTCCTACTTGTATGGATCAATTTTGAACATCAAAACTCGCAAAATGCTCGGGAAATTTCGGAAGGGTTAAGAAAAGTTAAGCCTTGACGCACAAAGCACGTAATGAAGTTAGACTTACACGTCTCGGTACATATCTGCCGGTAGTAATCCGCTTAAACGAGTGATTTGGGAGTTGATGTAATCGCGTCGCCTTCGTTCAACTAGAACAACAAAACGTCTGTCTTAACTAAGCAGCACACACCTAGGAAGCAATGCCAGCAACGAGACTGTTTGTCAATAAATTGGTTGGAAAGAGGCAAATAACTGAGGAAATAGCAGTGCTATGAACTGCGGTTGCGGTAAATAATAGTCAATATTAGCGAACAAGGCTTAAAGCATCTCGCCGAGCAATTGTAGCGACAAACAGGCGAGTCGCAGTTGCGTTCGTACTCAGTGCGTGGTTTCACACAAGATCACCAAAGGTATGAACTGTTCAAAACAGCGCGTTCCTGAAAGGCAGCTGCAATGGCGAAATTTTAACACTTTAGAGGAAACTAAATGTTTTGAGATACCGTCTTAAAAGCTAACGGTCAAATTATTCCAAAGTCAATAAAGGCCTAAAATGACTTTAGCCTGACGTTACTAGCTCCCGATTCTACTCTTAGTGGGACGACAGGTCCTCTTCCACTAAAAAGGGGTTTCACTTTCAAACACCTATCAATTGCTCCATTAGATGCATCCAAGGGGCTATCACCTTTTGTACCACAGAGTAAAAGTAAATAGAAAAATCAAATACGATTGAGAACCTGGGCTGAGAGGCATGCAAAAGAGACGCTATGAATCCCATCGAACGTGGTTGATCACAGCAAGCGAAGAGAGGGTATACCGAAGGTAACCATTCATTTTATGAGAATGCAAATCATTCCAGGGAGAGAAACACAAAACAGCAGGTCAAGCCTAGAGAAAAACAGATCTGAGAGTCCAAGTTCCAATGTTCACTACAGCACTTCTCCACAAAAACGAAATGGCAATTGCGCGCTTGAATGCATGAGGACGTGAAGTGCTATGCCAGCGCGCCTTAAACCCCATGGGATGCAATGGATTTTGTGTGAAAATCAACAACCAGCAAAATCCATTAATTTCTGAATAAATTAACACACAGAACAAAGCATTGAGCTGAATCTTGTGTAAGGCACAAGCGCAATGCAATGCTCCACATATCGTCTTGCGGAGGGATATTTGGCGACGCTTCTGAAGACTACCAGCATCACTACGATTGCGCCCCTTAAAAAATGTCCGACTTTACATAATAATAAGTGGAGTTGCCCACGTACAATTTACAAGAATGGCTTACGTAGGTACAAACGCTAGAAGTGAAACTCCAAAACTACGAAGATCCGCATTGTTATAAACCGTGCAGCTTTGTTAAATAAAAAATGTTGGGGTCAGTGATTACAGGAACGCATATTTTAACATTCTGTGATTACCTAAAAGAGGATGTGAAAAAGGAAACATGAAGTGCAGAAGTTCCATACTAGAAAATTCGAACTACTTCCAAGGTACTCGGACGTCTAAAAGATGTAGCACATTGGAGGACAAAAAAACAGCAACGCGACATAAACAAAGTACCACAAAGGGAAGAACTGTTTATAGAATCCACAAGGAAAGTAAGTTCATTAATTAAACTTTATGCACGCGGTCTAGGGAAAATGAATGACCTCATGGATTGCATACGCCTCTGATACTGTGGCATCCAAGCCCAGGTGCGAAACAACCTAAATGCTTGGAAGGAAATGACAGAAACCAAATTTTCACTAAAGAAAGATGAAATTTTCAAACTGTCAACAAGTCCGAAAAGGGTAGGGAGGATAGGTGTTCGTATTCGAAAACAGTCGCAATCCTTTCTGATCGTAAGGAATTCACAGTCAATTTATTTGGGAAGCAAATTGATCAAAAAGGCTTGGAAACTATTCATTAGCAAGGGACTGGTCTCCTACAAAATAAACACATGCGCAATTGGCTTGATTGTTGATTAATTCCAGATTTGTAGGAGTAATCTTTTACATCAAGTTGATTCCTCTACTTGCGAGCAGCCGATTGTATTGCAGAAACACAATTATTTGTTTAGTGGAATTAGTAGCTGCCTTCGATCAGCATGATGCCCGTCAAGACCAAAACCCAATCAACTATCAACAACGCCGTTATAATGTCATAAAACTGCACAATCTTGTATGAAACGAATAAGACGAATTACTAAATGATTACTAACTAAAATCTTATTACTAACGCAGTGCTTCATGTAACTTTAAGTATCCTTTAGCGCAGTTCTAAGTGCTCAGTATTCATGAAATTTCCACTACCTTTGAACCGTTACAAGAGAACCGATATAGCAGAAATATTGATAGAAGCGCGTCGTATAGTAGCATCTCAATGTGCCCCATTTCTCAAGCCGGCAAAACACATTCGATGCGCGGTAGTAAGTCATGTTGGAGGCGAGGAGAAATTAGGACTAGCAAAAATTGGAGCAATTAAAGGATTCCACAAGACATCGAAGCAAATCCTTTGGTAAGATGGAAGACTGAATCTCAGCCAAACCTTCAATCGCCGACACTTTGTAAGTCTTTAAAACATCTGTTAAATCAGGGACAATTCCAGCATGGAAAGCCAGTGATCAGATCCAACTGGGAGCGATTGACTTGAAGATGTTGAAAAAGCCGCCACCAAATAATAACTATGAAGCACCACGTGCAATTGCAGCTTATGCCAAATTTAGAAAATCATACCCCCTGCATTGCAAGTAGTGGCGGAAAAGATAAGATCACGGGTGTATTACGGCGAATTGCGTCGAGCGATTGATGAATGATTTCTTACGCGGAAGCTTGACACTCACGAAAAAGTCGTTCCTGTGCGTGTGGATTTATCAACCATTGATGAGTGGATGCATCGATACCGCACACATCGCCTACCGCCATTCAATCCCAATCATAATTGCCATTTACGGCATACAAGCCCGATGCGTAAAAAACAAAATGGCGTTCACATATGAATCTTGCAAGGAAAACACTTCATAGTGAGGATTATTGCATCTACTCGACCTTGACTTTACGCCAGACACAAGATGCCTTTGCAGAAGCAAACTATTAGAGTGATTTACCAACAAGACAAAATAAATCCTAACCACTTTGCAGTCAAGCTAGATAAATCATCAGAGCTCCCAAACATTTGACTGTTCCTCGAATTGTAGTGCAAAAGTAAAGTACACCAATTAAGCAGTATATAACAATGGTGACGATCCGAAATACCTTAATCCATCTCTCAATTGGCATCACAGTTACTTCCTGTAGTAGATCTTTTCACTTCTAATTTCTTCAATGCACTTTACTAAAGTATTTCGCAACTCAATTAAAGAGCAGCAATACTTGAAGGCAGTGAAAGCGCTAACGCATAAAAGTACAAATATGCTAACCAGGAGGATGTTATGGAGCTTCAAACTGCAGCTTTGCGAGACCTTATCCCAAAACCCGATTTCCAAACAAAGCAAGCCTGTGTCACGAGTATGCGCATCGTACACATTAGCAATTTCTTGAAAGATCAACTGTAATGCGATTGACTGCAAAAAGCTAGTCTACTGGAACGATGAATGGATTCCATGTTACAATTGGAATTCGCCTCCTCCACAAACTTAGAAGCCTCAGGGAACTTACTACGATTGTGGCTCTCCTTTTTAGATCTTGATTTGAAAGCTCCAGGTTTACTATCTGCATCAAGAACGGTGCGTTTACAGCTCCCACCGCCACCACCACCACTGCCTTGAGTAGTAACGGAGCTGGGTGAGTAGGCGGGCGAGATGAGGCTGGCATGGGGTGAGGCAGCCAGACCGACCATGTGTGGTGTCGAGTATGCCACGTCCATATTTCCACCTGTTGTACACTGCAGATCCGGCAGCTTGTTGGTCAGACCGCCAATGAAGCGCTGCAGCGACGGAGCCCCTCCCGCTGAATTCACATAGGACAGGTGAGGTTGAGCCAACTGCCGGCCAGCGTAGAGGTCGGTCTCTGATATTAGTGAGGCATAGGTCGACTGCACCGAATGGTGAGAATTGAAAGCAGAGGGTGCATTGAAGGATGAGGATGCAGTGGAGGCAGTAGGGGAAAAGTAATCAGGGAAGTCAGTGCCTCCAGTCGTGTCCACGGTGACGAGGGGAGTGAAAGAAGAAGCGGATGAGTCGTGGAATCGAGCACCACCGCTGCTGCCGTAGGATGGAGGTCGCTGCTGGCCCATAGGAATGAGCTCGGAGGGGTTGGCAGCGTTGGTGGCGGTAGTTGGCACAAGGGAGTAGGTGGTACTTTTTAACTCACTGTTATGGGTAGCCGTCGGGTTCATAGTGTTCCGGGGAGCGAAGGTCTCAATCTTACTCTTAGGGGTCCTTAAGACCTCTAAAACAGAGAAAATAAACGATAAAATCCAATAAAAGTCCTCCTTTCATGGATATATTATACCACAAATGCACATTCATTCACTTCATTTCACGATGTCAAGGCCAATATAATTTGGGGAAAAAATCGGGTGAATGTTTATTGTTGACCTTTATGATACCGCCTTCGATCTTCGAACAAATGATATAGAACCGAAAGTAAGCTGAATATTTCGGGTAGAATATAATGGAAAGATCAATGTTCTGGGAAGGCAGAAATGATGAACTTCTTATAAATACTCTGATCAAACCAAGTAAGCTAAACTTTAGATTGAAACTAATGGACGCTGTGAGACAAAATGGAGGAAAAGCAAAGCCAGATAGATCTAAGCCAAACACAATGAAAAAAAATATTGTCACCAATGCCCCAGCTGCAAGTCGATGTACAAGGTACTTAAGTTTAAACGACAAATGGGTGTCAAATCAAATTCATGAGAATAGCACTCATGCAAGTAAAGGGAAATAGGTACGATTAATAGAATAACACGATCTTTCTAAACCAAATATAAGTGGAACTTCGTGAACACACCCCACACTACGCATATATTCCTACCATATGTAGCACAGCTGATTTTCAAGGTCAAATGAGGTTTACACATCGAAACCACTGAAAGCCAGTTTGCTTTTGGTCACAGAAGCTCCTACTCAAGAAATAAAAGCACCACGAAACCGAATAACAAACAGTAATAGCTATAGCGATTAACGTGGCCAAATCAAATTACATCTGTATGGTCAAAAGCATTCGAGAAAGATAGCATAAAACCCTTAAAAAAAGAAAAAAGTCTACCGTGGGAACAAACCTGACCATCAAACTGAATGCGATGACAACCAACAATTGCGTGAAGCCAAAACACATTAAATGTACCCCAAGTGCTCTCACGATAACCATAACAGTGTATCACAAGTACAGCCTAGAAAAAATGCCAACACTAGAACACAATCAGAAACGGCAACTTACTGGCGATGTTTTGCGCACGCAGGAAAGTATGATCATTGGGCCACTTAACTACTCAGCCATCCATGCAACGATGTTACGAGAATAGAGGAAAGTACACCAAAGATGACCAAATTAGTGACAAGGATTTCTTAAGCTACGCAAATGCCAGATTACCGATATAAAACAATGCTTTACTCACATGAAGTAGCAACAGCAACAGTACCGAATTGAGTCTATAAGATATGGTAAGTGAAATATGTACGTTGGGTTTCTACACATGGTTAAGAAAACCAAAGTAAAGGGTGAATTAAGCACCATTATTGCTATAAGAATCCTCGGTGTCCGGTGATTTTCATAAAGTCACCAAATTGTATCCACGGTCTCATCTTCGTAAAATGTGGAAAATTCAAGTTCTTCGGGAAAAATAGCACATATTCGAACCGGAGAAAACACCCATAGGATAATCAAACAAGGGAAATGCTCCACCCACAACTCTGATAAGAAGAAACAAATGCGAAACTGACGAAAAGTGCAAAGTAATCACACGATAGTCAGCTGGTCGAAGACCTCTTTTTCGGCCCAATATATTAACTTTTATTCAAGGCTGAAAGTACTTTTAAACAAAATGCGCAATTAGCTTCTGAAACTCGAGCTATCGTGCGCGGTTGAGAATACTTATTCACATGATGTCGCTAGGGGACGAGATGTAGAACAGATAAACCCATGAACTCTGGCCAATCGATTTTAGAAACCAATAATGAAAAAACGAAAGAGAGACTTAATTGAACAATACGAGGAGTGTGTTCAGGAAAATTTGCGGAACACTAGATGGCATGTCTGGGAAAATCACGAAAATAAATGAAAAAAAAGGATCATCAGTGTTCGAATTAATATGGAAGCAGATTGAGTGACGAAGCAGATCGTGTGTTTGGAACGATAACTGTCAAAGTAAAAGTTTTGAGCACCTGCACAAAGCAACAGTCCTCTTAATGCACTGTATAAAGCTGAGCCACTAGGACCTGTGAGAATTTACGATGGACATTAAAAACGATGAAACAGTAAAATATTTGATAGGGACGAAAAATCAGAGGTAAATGTCAATAAGATCAAGCACTACTTAGCTGAAGGCGCGAACATCGCTGATCAACGAGATGCAACAAAGCACGATAAAGACGGTGAGAAAATGCAGGGAAAATCTTTATGCGTGCAGCAGAAACGAGACTATTCAATTAAAAATAGCAAGTTCAAAGACCCCGATCGAGAGTGTTGCTATTACCTTAAATATGTTAAATGTGATAGTATAAAGTCCCATGCAGAATACACCCCAGATCCCTAGCCGTTGTAAAGAGAGCGCAGACGACCGAAACTATTGAAATTGGCGGAAGAACTAAGAGACCTTAAAACACTCCAGTATTAAAAGAATAAACACAACATAACACTTTATCCTAGCGCAAAACGTGCTTATACTTTATGTTACTATCCTTTGTATTAATTTTGCATTTAGAAAAGATATTTTTTAATAAAGACTTAATTCTTTTGTTATTAAAAGATGAATAAAAATAACGCCATGCAGATGAAATATTATGACAATTCGCCAAGTGATTAAAGATCTCGGTTTTGTAGCTTTTGTTGCTAAATAAGACCGTTTTGACACTTTACTTCCTTTAATTGTATCCGCAAATAGTTTTGTGGGCTTAAGCAGTTGAAATCCCAAATGCGTAAGCTCCGTCCTATCTTGTATCACGTTGTTGAACCCTTTAACTAACCGCATACGCAACACTGCGTTAGACTGCCATAAAGCTCGGAGACTCCCAAGACTTCTAACTTAGCGGAAGACATAAAGTGAAGCTAAATATATATATTTCAGAGATAACAACAGGACTATGTAATATATTATAGCTTGTTTAAGTGTACTTTGATAGGTGAGAGGCGGGGTCCAATTGGGAGCGTGGATCATG